CTAATTAATCCTCTTGCGACCCCTGCTGGCAAGCAAAAAAGGTTCCTGAGTTATGTTATGTTATGTTGCCTTCTTTCCACATTTCAGCTGCTGCTATCTCCATATTTCAAAAGCATTGCCCCCAACACACACTCAGTTCTTCCTTACATTCACTATTTTCCATAGCTATTTCGTGGGGAAAGTGCTGTAGGATCTGATCTTTCAGAATAAAATGCAGCTCTGCGACCACTGGGTCACACTGTCACCAGCTGTGGAAGTTTACACTCCTACCTCTGATATCAGCTTTTCTTTTGTCTCAAAGTTCAGATAAGCATGCCAAAAAGCAGGTGTACTATTCTCCCTTTTCCAACTCGGCAATTAAATGTTAGCTTCTCTTCCTAAATATCTTGAGCCATAAGAAACAGGTAGAATGGATATTAAAAATAAACACGTTAATAGAATTGGTTAAACATTGCTGTGCAATCCGATTCATGTTTTTCAATCTATTTCTCCATATATTTAACATATTATCAGACAGAACAATTTCTCCTAACTCTTGTGTTTTTTTCTTCCAGTTTTCACTGCCCCGACATCATTTTCATTTAACACTGAAGAGATAAAAAAGAAAATGCTTACATTCAGGCATTCAGTGGAATGCCATTACTGCTGTTTCACTCTTGATTTCAGCAGAATTTAAAACCTGGTCTCAGTAGAACGTAGCCACACAAATTATTTCCATGTCAGTGTAGTTGAGCCTTAGAATGTATGAAGTGAAATGTCTGTGAACTTAAGCAGATGCCACATCTGGGCTCAAGGAGAAGAGCATCCAGGTGAGACAGCATAAGAACTGGCTTCTGAGAGACTTTCCCCCCACCCCATTAGAGGCGCTTGTCACCTATTTTTTATTCTTAACCACCAAAAGCATTTATTGTTTGCATAACATGCCTGTGACACCTTGAGGTTCATCTCTCAGGAGTATTAAGCAGCTTAGTCTTCTAAAGACAGCTGTGTAGCAAACACTGCCCCACCAGGACAGGTTTGGTGATTAGCAAGACAGAAATAGAAATACATTGATCTAGGTTAACTTACAGGATGTTGGGAAGAAGGGAGATCCATAGACACGGTATGCAGCAGGAATGCGTGATTCAAGATATGGTCCCCAGAATCTTTGCAAGAGTGCTGGTGTATTAATGCTCAAACTGTACACAAAAGTGGATTTGTGAAATTATTGGGTCTCTTTTTACATTAGAGTCCTGGTGATGAGAATGTTCTCTTTTGCAGCATATATATTGAGTCCTTACTGGCACCATCATATGTGAATGCGCTTTGGCAAAGAGACCTTATTGTTCTCAAGGTGCCCTAGATAATACTTTACCCTCCTAAAATGGAATAAATTCTATTAGTATCTCCATAACCATGTATCCTGCTATGTGGCCATTAACATCCAAGACTAATTACAAGCTGACTATTTCCTTTTTTACTTTCCCATATTCTTTGCATTCTTCCCTCCATCTCCATATACGCATCCTTGGTGAATAATTTCCTGCAGTATTGTCACCAGCACAGTCAAATATGTGAGAGGTAATTAACTTGGTGCTCTCCAGTTGTTTTGGATCACAGCATTAATTTCATGTCTAGAAGGGGGGGGGGGCTAAAGCAGAATGGGCTGGATAATTTGGAAGTCAAAGTGTCAGTATAGTTTTTGAACCTCAGTTGCCTTTCTTCTCTGGAGTGTTCACTGTGTTTTGTGATGCAGCCCTGTTTCTGGTTGCTGCATCATAGAATCCTACTATTTCCTGATTTCATCCCAGTACATAAACTAGCCTTTTGTAGATAGGTTGTTGTGTTATTTTGCTGCCTGCCTGCCTGCCTCTTTGGGTGTGCTTGGATAGAGAGCAGGGTTTCTCAGGTGAAATAAACTGAGTGAGTTGGGGGATTCTTACCTTGAGGGATGTAGCAGGTGAAGAGACTGATATCTTCAAGAGTCAAACAAAGAGCTGAACTACCTATTACGAAGCAGGTGGCACAATGTGTAGAGCTCTTTCTCTGTTGCAGATCACCTTACATTTTAATTGTTGGTTTGTGAAACTCACTGTCCAAGGATGTGTGTCTTATGGCTATAGCAAACCACTTCTGAACACGTTGCCTACAGGAGTTAAGTCAGACTTGAAGGCAAAAAAAGAGGAGGAAAGGGAGGTGATCATCATCCTATTATGGTGTAATGTGGTGTAGTGAAGCCAGCATGTAGGTTGTAGATTGTTTGGTTTTGTCTTAGTGCAACATTTGAATCCAGCCATTGTGCTGAAGTTACAGCATAGTGCAACATGTGAATCCACTCACTGTGGCTTAGTGAACAAGATGTGATTAAAGCAGATTGTGGCTTAATGTGATGTGGAAACCAACCAGTGGTGTAAGGATATATAGATGTTACAAATACCTGAGTATTTTTTTTTTCATTTGTGAATTATTGGGTGGGTGTGGTACTTGGGTCTAATCCCAAACCATGTTGCTGGGAGCTGCAGTTTTTCTGCTATGTGGTTCTCAATGTAGATCCAAAATATTAGTCACCTTTAATAGCATCTCAGGAGGATGTCCCAGGATCCCTTGCAGCACACAGAGGCCCAGATCTCATCCTATAAGTTGTTCACCTAACACCTTAAGCCAAAATATAGTTTGCTTGGGTTTGTCTTACAGCGTTGGGTGAAGCCAACCATTGTGTGTATCCAGGCTTTTTGGGTACAGGAATGTGAGGTATCTCAACCCACTTAGGGCTTCACTGGCACCCTCACAATTTTGCTCTCCATCGGTTCCTCAACATGGGTTGAGAGCTTGGTGCAGTCAGGTTTACTCTGTGTATAGTTGACCTTGGACTCTGCATGTCTCTTTCCTTTGGTGCTTTTTTTCCCTCTTCCATTCACAAAATCGATCCTAATCTCCCCAGGATGACGTGAAACATTTTGAAAGAACATTTCCTCCTCATTGCTACAGGCTCTAGAATCTGGATTGCTCAGGTTTCAGCTTGGGTAATAATAACATATTTGGGACAGGAGGTGACTTTGCCATACCTTGATCCCCAGAAAGAGCTATGTGGAGCTTGGCACCTCCATGGACTGTGCCTGTCCTGCCCCCTTCCCTCCCCTCCACTGCAGCAATCTGGCAGATGGATCCAGCCTGTACCAGGCAGCAAAGGGTGATTCAGTGAAACCTCTCAGTCTGAGTGTTAGTTAATCAAGTCCTTGAGTGTCCTCTAATCCCACCAAACAACAGAACTTGATCTTTCTTTTCTCTCTCTTTCAGCCTTTCTGTCACCACCTCCATACACTGGGGAAAGGACCATCCCAGGGCACAACTAATCCAAGCAGTTGCTTTAAGCAACAAGTTGTGAAGCAGCCTCCATGATCCAATAGAGGCATCTCAGGATGCTTTGCAAGATACAGAAGAATTGTGGTTTAGCTCTTAAATCACTGAATGGAGCTTCTTGGGGGTAGCAGGTTTGTCGGCTGACCTTTAATTCTTGGTATTTATTCCCACTTCCCTGCCATGATTATCAGCATGGGACTGTCCCCAGTTCAGATTTATGACCTGGGCTTGACAATGTCCCCTGCCTCATGGTTTGCCCCCAAGCCCATTTAAGCATACAAATCTCTTGTGGCTCAGCATTTTTCTTCCAGTCTTCTTCTGTTCTGCATTTTTCTCAAGCCAGGAGCATAGCTGTTTTTAGCTCACCTGATCTATGCTAACAGCGTTGATGCTATATTTGACTGACAGTAAAATAATTCAGTGGAGAGAGGGAGATGCTTGGGAATGCTTGCTAATGAAAGCACTGCAGGTAACATCCAGTTGGGACTGACCTGATATCTGTGGTGGTAGACTTGTGGCCTTCCAGATGTCATTGGACTACAATCCCTATAGACATCTGAGCAAGCCAAGATAGCGTCAAAACATCGTGACACAAACTCCACCCTTACCTACTTGCGTCCTAATGTTTGATATAAGTATGCAAGTTGTGGGTTTGAATCATGATGTCTCAATGTGCATTTATGATATACATTTCAGTACCTCCCTCTGAAATGATCCCTGTGGACTCTTTTGACAGTTAGGTTGTGATGGAAAGCAAATAGCACATTTTATACATAAATATTCTCTTCTATTGATACATAAATAAGAAAATAGAAAGCTGTGGCCTTATCTTTGGTCTATAAGGATGATCCCAAATCCAGTTATTGTGGAAGGTGGGGACAGTTTTTCCATCCATCATCTTCACATCATGGGTCAGTAAGGTTTTAGATGGGATTCCCAATTTATTTGGGCATAGCATCTCCCACTGGGAATGCTGTGGGCAAAGAGCAGGAATCTCATTTGTGAAGGGACAGAACAGGAATGATGATACAACTAGAAAATAAAGAACTACTTTGCACTGAAAACTCCATTTTTTTCCTCTTCCTGTTTCTGTAAGAAAATCATCCAGGAATTCTAATCTGCAGAAAGTGTCATTCTTCTCAAATATATAGCTTGTGAACAAATACAACCCTACCCCAAAAACAAATACTTTGCTGGGTGAGAGCACAGGCCCACTAATTTAGCCACCCAGTTCCAACAGCGACCAGACAGTTGCCTCCCCGAAATTCACAAGCAGAACAGGGAGGCAATGGTTCCCCCTTGTGAATGCAGCATTTGCTTAGTATTAAGAGCTATACTATTTCTGTACATGGAAGCTCCATTCATCTCCTAGCAAAGGACTTTTGACAGGCAGGAGTCCACCTTGGCTTTTTAAAGAAGCCTAAACATGTTCTTTCATAAGGCTGATATTTAACACTGTGGCCAGCTGCCTGTGCTTGGTTGCGCACCTGCGTTTTGGGCCTCAGGGTTATACATTTTCTTGGTAATTCTTTTCGTAGTTATACGGAGGCTCGGCTGAGTGAGTCTTGCCAGCAGATTAGCCTCGGGCATGTAATTGGCTGAGTGGCTGAGCATAAAACACTGGGAGGCACTAAGCGCTCAGCACGAAGCACTGGCTGGCTGGGACTGAGTAGGGGTCTAGGAATCTGGCCAGGCAGGATCGAGAGCATCAGAGACAGGTAAGATGAGTCCCAGCTGGGCCTCTAAGACACCACTGCTGGCCATTGCTGCAGGGAAGAAGGGAGGAAGAAGGAAAGGGTGGTTGCTAAGCAAGCAATTATGCATTGTGTAATCCTCCTGAGAATAATAGGAAGAAGGAGTGAGAGAAAGAGACTGATTAAGGACATACTTATTGATTAGATGTATAGCCTGCCTTTATTTTGTATAATCCAGGCTCCCTCCTTATTTTCCCCACAACAACCACTCTGGGAGAAGGGTTGGGCTGAGAAAGAGCGACTCGCCCAAAGTTACACTCCATGTCTAGGGGAGAACTAGAACTCACAGTCTCCCAGTTTCCAGTCCAGCACCTTAACCACTAAACCAGACTGGCTCAGGTGTGGTATTGCATGACATGGAGCTGCATCTTCCCCCAACCACTGTCCCCTTTATCTATTCACCATTCCCAGATTTACAGCTTGTTGGCTGAGGGGAAAGTCCAGCATCAAAGGCATTCAGTTGTGGATCACCTCTCTTTGACAGTCATTGCTCTCAGACAAAAGGCCTTTGTCACTAAAGGATAGGAAAGTACTTTTCTTTTTTTTATTGTGGATTGAAATACCTTTAGCGTCTAATTTTGGCAACACCTAAGAATAGGATTTCGACTCCCCTCTACCAAGCTTTCTCTTTCCCAGCTCCTACAGCTGAACCTCATTGCTGCCTGTTAAGAACAGAAATGTTGTTATACCTGCTTTTCACAAAACCGAACCATGCTCTATCCTGGCAGATGGAAAACTTCCTTAATTATATGGCTGCAAGCTTTTAATTGTATCAGTGGAAAGACGTGAAACTGGATTATCTATGCAAGGCATCTGCTCTGCCCCTTGGCTACCTGAAATCCATAAAGCCAGTAACTGGAGGGGCATAATAAATTAAAGTGACTTGTGGGGCTCCGAGGATCTGGAGATAAGCCAAATGCCTGTTGAGGATGGCTGAAGAAGGAACTTTCAAAACCATTTTTTCAATTCCCAGAGACAGAGAGGGAAAGAGATGGTATAAGAGCATTTCTTCAAGTACTAGGAGAACACTCTTCTGACCTGTGGCCGGTTTTTATAGAAGGCAAGTCTTGATCAGTGCTGGAACATCTGCTTTTCTTGGGAGCATTTTGTTTCATGCACAATTCTAGAATTGCCAGAGATTGCTTGTTTAATATTTGCCAACATATTCCAAAAATGGGTCAGATGATGGATCGCTTTTGGATGAAGCTAAAATTTCCATTCAGTTTCCTGGGCAAGTTTTCTTTTTGTGTCCAAGTATATGTGGGAAGAAAGATTGGGATAGAGGGGGAGACAAGTTGGTACCCACCGGCCTTCTGAAATCCAAGGGAAATGTAATCCCTCCACATGGTTCACTAATCCCAGTTTCTAACCAGGAGGGAAGTTAAAAATTGGTCTGGTTCCTGGGAAACCAAAGATGTCCACCTACCTGGCCATGCTGATTTTTGCTGTTCTTCTGAGCCAGGGTGAGTATATGAGGCTTTTCATTAAAACTACAACCTTTTAAAATGATTCATTCAAGCTATAGGCCTAATGTTTTGCTGCAAAGTTCCAGTCAGCTGCATAGGGAAGCAAAGGAAGGAGCAGAAAATACTTTGAGAGGAGCTGCTGCTGCTCTTTGCTATTCTTGGAATCAACACTGAATGAATTGCATCAGAATTGAACCTGAAAAAGGAGCATGTGCTTTTAAAAGCTAATTGGTGGCAATTACTTAATTGATGGCTTTTGGTGGGGGAGGGGGCGCCAAAACCACCACCACTATTATACAGAAATTTGTAATTTTAACCAACACAGAGTTACAGTACTCAGCCAGATATCCCCTCCAGTTTGGGATTCAGAGGAACTGCCACTTTTATCACTCTGAAGGGCAGCCCTGGTCAATCACTGAAAATTAGGGGGGAGACTGCAGCCATGAAATTAAAAGACGCTTGCTCCTTGGGAGGAAAGCTATGGCAAACCTAGATAGCATATTAAAAAGCAGAGAC